ATTTCACAGGTGTCTAAATCCAGACTGTGTGTGGAGCGAATCACGGTTCAATATTCTATAACAAAAAGAAAACGTCCAGGACTTGCTAGCTGGAGGAATAGTACTAGGTTATCCTGGTGAAAAACAGGCGAATTTCTTAGGGACACCACAAGAATCTTTATGAGGCACTCAAAAAGTAGATCCTATTGCTGGAAGTAACGGATCAATTATCCCAACTGTCTAACCACAATTCCATGAACTTTCATAACAAATCTGGACACGCACTTTAATTGAGGTCAGTGTACTAATCCATATCTGAACGAACCACGGTATACAGATTGATTGTATGCTAGTAGGGCTTCATTGTTAAATCGTTCAATTTTTATCGATTCCCTATGGGAGGGCATTTTATAATCCCGTTTGACGAAATATATTTGCCGATTAGTGAGGTGAACGGCAACAGGTGAGTTTTGAAAAGACGATATGCGATCTGCAATACCATTTGGGATCGTGCAAACAGTGGAGCATTTACCGTGTTGAATACCCAAATTTCCCCGTTCTCCGTCGGTCGTGGCACTCCGTGCCCGTTGTAGTGAAATAGGATACGATCCTCCTTGGCATTTCGTCTCAGATTGACGCACAACTTCTTTACATCGTCCAAGGTCGGATCTAGGCATTGTTTGTACCGCGCGCGAGGATGCCATCGTTCGTACTGGATCTGGTTGGATTAGCAAGATCAAACAGAAGAGATTTAAGGCCAATGGAGAAAGCAAACTGGTAATTTGGATTTTACAGACTATAATTTGGTTCTTTTAACTAATTAGGACTGGTGTGTAGCTAAGTTTCCTTGCGTTTCGAGAAAGATGATTGATAGAGAAGCTGAAATTTTGATATTGTGCTTTGTTCGAAGTTCATTTATTAAAGATTACAGCGCAATCCGTGATGCATCGCACATTGTGATTCCTGTTTTTGTTTGTCTGGTGCACATTGTTCCTATTCGTGGCTTGTTATTAAACACCATACGGTTGCAATGAAAATTCGTGATATGTAGGGTTGCCTAAACTGTACAAAGAGCCTACATCCAATTCTATCGACGCGCCATTCCACCAGACCAATGACGGAAGAGCTAGCAAAGTTGCTGGAACCCTTTAAAAAAATATTATCCAAATACAGTGTCATATTCTGGTTCTCTTGTTTATACACCCTTTTATATTACGTACCACATAAACCTCTCTCTTTCTATTACAGCTCATGCACCGGATTTATTAGCTCAGTGAAGCGTATAATTCCGACTCCGAGTCTTCTCAGTTCCGCTCTCGTTTGCTTGATTCGTAAAACGTTACAATTTACTCAACTAATAATGGACCGTTATCTTTGACCCGACAAATTCGATGTCGACCTGAACGCCCCTGACGCCTCCAAACAATGGACCCACTGGATACGCACTTTCAACGCCTTTCTAAAGCGAATTCAGTCCGATGACAGACAATCTGGACCTACTCATCAATTTTCTGGCACCCTCTGTCTACGAGCCTCCGCCTGTCCAGATGTGCAAACGTCTACGGTCATTAACTGCCTCTGCCAACTATTTTCGATCTTCGGGATGCCAGCCTACATTCACTCGGATCGGGGTTCATCATTCTTATCGTCTGAACTATCAGCTTTCTTACGAGATAAAGGAGTGGATATCAGTCATACAACCGCCTACAATCCGCAAGCTAATGGTCAGGTTGAGCACCTAAACGGTACTCTTTGGAAGGCTATTTCTCTGGCACTGAAGACGAGAGGCCTAGCTATCTCCCAATGGGAATCCGTCCTACCAGACGCATTGCACTCGATCCGTTCTCTTTTATGCACCGCTACAAACGCCACTCCACATGAACGACTTCCGTTTTGCCCGACGCTCCACCAGTGGTACGTCTCTTCCAACCTGGTTGACTACCCCTGGCCCCGTACTGCTCAAACGCATGGATCGGTCCACGAAACTGGATCCCCTCGCAGAAGAAGTTGACCTTATCAACTGCAATCCGCATTACGCCTTGGTGAAACTTCGTAACGGAAGAACAGAATGTTTCCATTCATCGTTTGGCCCCCCGGGGTGACCCACCGATGTCGACACCCAAACTCCTAGCACCAACAGACCCTACACCCGCACCGCTTAACATTGTCCCTCCGACAGAATCCGACACCTTACCCGAACCCCTTGACCTTGATGAAGAATGCACGCCTCCACCGACAACGCTCACACCCCACTCATATACCGATATACTAGAACAACAGCAGAGAACACGCCCTTACAACTTACGAAATAGAAAAGCATGAAACAGAACTTTGCTGTTTTTTACTACAAAACATTTTTGAAGTGTTTCACCTTCAATAAACGGTCGTTTCCCAGCCGGAGTAAATGTCATATTCTGGTTATCTTGCTTATACACCCTCTTATATTGCGTATTACATAAACTTCTCTCTTTCTATTACAGCTCATGTACCGGATTTATTAGTTGAGTAAAGCGTATAATTCCGACTCCGAGTCTTCTCCGTTCTGCTCTCGTTTGCTTGATTCGTAAAACGTTACATACAGGTAGATAGTTTTGAATTGGTTAATATACTAGTGAAGTTAATGATCATAACTTTCCATATGATGTCACTGGACGTGGTATTTCAAGCTACCAATGTTTCCGCTATGGAACAACGAGTGATGTGACCACATGGAAGAAGAGAAAATCGTACTGGGAACAAACTGGTGAGCAATCCACTGAGTTTAATTATAGTCTATATATTTTGGGTCTAATTGGAAAATGAGGCGGGACTCAAACAGGCAGTGCTATGCCGACGTCGTGTACACGACACAGTAGTCACCTCTAAGAATGTTGTTGAAGCGGAAGGGCTTTAAAGCCCTCTGCATTTAGGGACTGAATCTGACAGACATACGCATTGCTTGTAGACCAAATGGTTCAGTTAATAGATCACAGTATCGGAAGTCAATATGTATTGGGCAATACCTCCTTTCGCACCCTCACCCTCATCCAGAATAAACGTTCAGTTCAGTTTTTAGAACCATTAACTAGTTCGAACTCTCGACTGAGCAATACCAATAAGTACGTATAAGAGCCGCCTATCTGAACTACAACAGGCTGAATATGCACTCATCATGATCATTCCAGCTTTATCCGAAAGCATATTTCACATGTATAGGGAGCATTCTTGGTTGTGTCGGTAGAAAAGCTCGTAAGGAGACTAAAACTGTCATACAAGGGTGTAAGTTGAATGTTACGTGATTCTTTTCTTTTTTATCTTTACTTCCTATTGTTGAATACATAATACAATTTTCAGGATGGGGGGGGGGCGGCCAACCAAAGGGCTGCCGTATAACACACATTGGGGAATGTTCAGCGGTGGTGGGATTGGAACAAATAAACTCCGGACGTTACCACCGGGCCACCACCATCAATCACGAGGCAAGCTTTAGCAGTTGCTTATGCCTTCTTTGCTGCCTCCCCAGTCTTGCCCGGATAGCTACGACACTTGAATCCCGTTTCGAACCAAGTAAACGCTGTGCATCAATCTTAACGGGGGGTGCGGAGTTACCTATGTCGGTAGAGCGGAGAGACAGCTGCATAATCGAGTATATTCCGAGAAGTCAGCACACTGAATATTACGCAACCGCAGGTGAACACAAATTAATTCCGTTCTTCTTTTTCATTTTTGCTTCCTTTTATTGAATACATAATGACAATTTTCAGGACGGAGGAGGCAGCCAATGAGGGCTGCCGTGCAACACAATGAGGAAAGCCAAGTGGTGGTGGGACTCGAACACATGACCACCGGGGTGATAACCTGGTGATGTTACCACTGGCCCTCCACCACTGCACCATCAATCACGAGGCAACACACAATCAGGTCGATTGCGATAAAAATAAATTCAGAACTGTCTACATAGCCAAAAGATCAGGGTTATTGCGATATACGAGGGTGATAGCGATCAAGCGATGGAAACCTACACTATGCCTACAGAGAGAACATTGTAAACTTGTTTGAACCCTGGTAATGTATCAAACTGTTTTCCCCTCTCTCTCCTTATCCAGACGGGGCTTTCCGACATAGCCTTCACCGAAAGCAAACGTGGACCGGATTGTACACAAATTATTACAGTTTTGTACCCCGGCAGCAAAAGGCACCGATTTGATGTATGACGAATAGGGTAATACAAATGTTCGCTTGATTTATGCTAGGAAAAACTGATAAAAATGATGACGACGTTTCTAGAAAATGGATATCCAGATTGGAACATTCAAAACTGTATGAAGATCAGAACAAAAGTGCAACCAGAGCTGAATGTAAAGAAGAAACCGGTGTTTTTTCATCTCTCGAAAGGTGCCCCATTACCTGGAACGGTAAGCACCTTGGGACTTCAGTCAGGAACACATATCATACTGCTGATGTGCACATGGTTTACACTTACAAACCAACTTTCTGTCTGAAGATCGAAGATAGGCTACCGGTGGAACTGACTCTATTCTACATTCAACAATTTGTGTATTCCTATGGCACCATCTGAATTGGTCGTATCACCCGACACTTGACCAAGCGCATTCGAGAACACCACAAAGCTGACGTTCCATTCACAGTTTATGATCAAAGTGAACTTAAGGCTGCCCTTTGCCACGGTGGAAGCTGCGGGAATTCGTCAATCATCCCCTCCCACTTGTGCTGGTCAAAACAGAACACTTGTTCTCTCATGATCATCAGCGTATTACACAAAAAAGCTATCCTGTTCTCTAATGACCCAAATTAATGAGCACTTGCGACGACCAAGATATCGGCAACTTACGGTCAGGGAACTGAATGTTTTAACTCAGTCTGTTATCAACCTTTATCGTAAACTGTGAAGTAGTAGGATGAGAATTGATCACCGTAAGCGAGCTTATTCACTAGAAAGTAATTGTGATGTTTCCGTTTGAGAAACTGGAAATACATCTGACAAACCGGTGATGTAACCAAAGAGCTCTGTATATTCAAAAATTGTCACATACTTGCAAGTTTTTTCCAATAGTCTCTAATGCGCGGAGACTGTTGGCATCAGTTGGATCAAACCAAGCCTCGACACGACAAAATGGTGGTATTTTCTGCACATCTGGTGGATCGATATCAATATTCAGACAGATCACCAGAGCAACAGTAAGCGTTTTGATCTAATAAGTTATTATTAATGTAATTTAAAAACAAGTGTACCTTTTCTTTGCAATACTTCTCGACATACAATGCAGCACCTTCAATCTCCTCCACGAAGTGACGCGCACCGAACGCAATTCGACAAGGCCAGTCGACATCATCGGCATCTCGATCATCAAGCCATGATCCTTCGTTGAACAATGACTGCGTTTCCGAGTTAGAAAGAATTCGGTGGCTCATGGACTCATATAGAGTGATTGGAAAGTTCGCCCAAACGATTACTTCAAAAAGAAACAGAAAATAAAAGAATGATGGCGAAAAGGGAAGATAACGATTACACGCGTCTTCGCGCTCAACAACAAAAACTGCCAATACTAAGGAGGGGAGGAAACAAGTTGTTTTACTATAGTGATTCTTGTCTTTAAGGATATATATTTTTTTATACGACGAAATTGAACAGAAACGGCGAAAGAGGGCATCCTTGATGGATGCCGCTGCTGGTGACGAACGGCCTACTTAGATTGTTGTAGACCCTTACAAAGACCGGAGGTCTGTGAGTACATTGACCTCAGTAGACTAACGTACTTCTGGGGCATTCCTTTTCAGAGCTTCGCAGTCGACTGAGTCAGCGGCTCCTTTCGGGTCAATGAATACTGTGATCGTTGGCCTAAGGTGGGTGTGACGCAGCTCAAGGATCTGACGCAACGTAAAAATTTGATCAATATATCCAAGGCCGGGTCGGAATTCGGCTTGCTGTACACGAATGTTGACTTCTCTCTCAGACGTCGAAGTATAACCGGAGCTAGCACTTTGGTGACGATCGGGATCAAACTGAGTAGGTGGCAGATTCCACGGGAAACCCGTCAAGTTAAGGGAATTTTTAAAAAAGGTCCCCATCAACCTTCTCCATTCAAGTGTGAACAGGTTCAGCCCCTGAATACGCTCGGAATATGTCGCGCCACAAAGGTACAAATTGGTGAGGGGGCGTCTGCTTGAGCTTCCGCGGTTGCTAGGTAATAATCGCAATACTCGCGTCTTGCATTTCAGCTTGATGAGCCATCCAGGCTTGGCGCGCTGCATCCTTGCAGTGGCTACAAACCCAGTCAACTTCACTGTTTACGCAGTAGATGTTGTAGTGACATTCGAGTATTCCCGAACATTTGGGATGGGCCCAACGGCTACAGGCGTCGCACTGTATGCGCTTCACAACTCCTCTTCCGCACTTTACCCAGACACGGATGGGAAACACGTGGCATTAGTAATGAACAATACGTTTAAACCGGATTAGGTATTGAAAGTTAAGCAAGCTAATCCACAGACAATGAAAAAAGTTGAAAGTTTATTGATAAATCTCTAGCGAGCTTACAATAATTAGGTTACTGGTAGGTAGAGCAGGCTCAACGTGTACCACTTAGTACCGTTAACAATGACTCTGTGAATAACACTGATTGTTAACGTAAAAAAATGATCTGGTTCACCTTTAACTGATAATAACAGAAAAATTTACCAACAATAGAAGGAGAGCAGCGAGGGATACAACCGAATTCGAACGTTCGTTGGAAAATCTACCCGTAATCTGCAGTCAAATTGTATTCCATTTATTGTAAGATGATTTGACCAGCTAAAATGATAACACACAAGATAAATAGAACAAACAATTCAAATGAACACGCTCGCACCGCGTGTCCGCCCAGGGTATCGAACAAACTCGTATCTCCCGCCACGTCAGGTCAGTTCAGTTCAGTTCAGTTCAGTTAAGTTGCACA